TCCATTAATGCGCGAGCGAAGAAAAGTACGACCTGGCCAAAAATCATGGGTTGGACTATAGTGCGACCCAAGGAAAGTGCCAGGTCGATCTATAGTTCGACCCCGCACTATAGATCGACCTTGGAGTCTCAAGGTGGGCTCCTCTGGGCACCTCCCCCGGGGCCGGTTTTGTGAGGATGTCTCACTTTGATCGTCGGGTGGGTGTAAGTGCGGTAAGAGCGTTGTATATCCGATGAAATCGTTTCAACGAAGATGTATGTAGGTTCATGCTAGTTGACCTCACATATTCAACATATATAAAATATCGAACTTCGCATTCATCTACTTAACGTTTTGTTAGATAAGTATATTCAACAACATACCATACATACTACTCACAGAACCATCCATCTTATCAACTGAGCTATCGGGTACCACTGCCAAGATATATCGATACATACACCTCAACATACCCAACTTAGTAGCTAAGTCAGCTAAGTCGATGTGGGCTGTCCGATTCGGTTAACCCGAAATTTGCATAACTTTCTATGTTTTGCATGTTTGTTCTTGATATTGCTATGTTTCGGGAAAAAACCACAAAAAACGTTTTAACAACTACAACACAACAGTTTTTCAGGACAGGGCGCCGCAGGTCGACGCGCCGAGCCGCCCTCAGGACGCCTGCGGGGCGCGGAGGGGAAGGGGGGAGAGGGAGAGGGGGGGGGATCAACTATTCTTCAAACTGCCTCCCCTCGGCGGCCATCACCGCCTCCCCTCTCCTCTCCTCGTTGTCGGCGGCCAGCCCGCCCCCGCTCCCTCCTGCCGCCTTCCCTCCCCGAGCCCGCCTTCCTTCTTCGGCGGCATATCCGCCCCTCCCTCCTGCACCTCTCTATCGAAGGGCGGCGCATCCGCCAGCGGCATATCCGCTCTCGCATGCGCTCGTTTTTTCCTTTTTCACGTGATGGCGAGCACATAGCCATCGTCCTGTAGTCGCCGATAAGCCGCCCAGGCTGGCGGGATCAGCTCGGCGGGCATCACGGCGACGTCGCCGCGCGGCCGCCACAGGGACGCGCCTGGGCATGGCGCGCGCACCCATTCCAGGGTCTCCACCAGCAGGTAGCTGGCGGCGCCAGCCTGCGCGCAGCAATGCACGATGTACGCCTCGCCGTCGCCCAGGAGAAAATCCTGAGGGCAGCAACGCCTCGATTTTTGGGGGGGCACACGCATGTGCACCCCTAAATACCAAGGTTGGTTGCGCCGTCTGTCCTGGCTGCCGTGCATCTGGCCGTCGATCGACGCCTCTCTGCTGGTCCACGTTTCAGCCCTGCGGAGGGGTTCCTCCTCCTCCTCCTCCTCCTCCTCCTCCTCCTCCTCCTCCTGGCGGCGAGCCGCCTCGGCGGCAAACCGCCTTCCCCTCTCCCAGCCCATCTTCCTCCACAAAGGGCATGCAAGGTTGCGCCCCGAGTGCCCGAACGTACTGTCCAGCTCTGGCGTGCGCCACGCTTTGGCGCGGGAGCGCGGCGCCTCCTTCGCTTCCTCCAGGAAGCAGGCGAGCATCGCCGTCAAGGCCGACCGCTCGAAATTCTCAGGGTTGTCGATCTCCTGCGACCTGGACCGAAGCAGGTTGTGCTTCCGCTCGAGTACGAAGGCGTCCAACCAGATGCCGTCCTCCGCAGGCTGGTCGGGGACGTGCCACAAATAATGATGCTTCGGCTTGATCAGGGCTGGCCCGTGCGCGGCTTTGTGCAGCGCCAAGGAAATCGAAACGGCCTTGGTCCAGACAGCTATCAAATTCGGCACGGCGCCGATCCTCAGGACGTAGCCGAACCGCCTGCCACCTAAGCGCTCGAGGATGCGCGCGGGCCGACGCGGTGCATCCTCGAACGCGCAGGCCAGCGTTTGCGTTTCAGCTGCGGCCGCATGTCCTTTTGCCCTGCATGTACAATTCGAGCATCTTCGCCATCGCCTCGAACGACCGCGCCGCAGCGTTCGCCATGCCGCTGGGACGCAGCTCTGTGTGCACCCAATGACGAATCAAAGGGAACACGGCCAAGCAATCCGACGCCTTGCCCACGAAGTGCGACGCCTTGCAGGTCGCTTTCTTCCGAGCCACGCTGAACAGAAACGCTGGCGGTTTCCTGCCGCGTCTGCCAGTCCGCCACGCCGAGCAGCGATCCCGCCACGTTCCCCACGCGTCGGGGATGACATCCCTCACCGCCTTGAGGAGCGCAAAGATTTCGACCTGCAAGGTCCCGCCGCTGGCCAGCATGGTATGCATGGGGTCCCTCACGTATGTGCTCGGCGGCGCCACCGTCCGCAACGCCTGGCACGCCACCAGAGAACGGTCATCCAGAGTGATGCCCATTGCCGTCTCCTTCGGGGGCCGGAACATCAGAAGGGAAGGAAGGGGGGGACATCAGAAGGGGATCGATGGAAATGTTTTCCTCCCTGGCTCCAGTCTCTCGATGTTCGCTCTGGTTGTCGTGTCCCGCAGCGACGCCAAATCATCATATTGCTGCAAAAACTCGTCTGACGACAGCGGGTCAAAGCGCGACGAGTCAGCGCACCAGAGAGGCACGAGGTAATCATCGTCGTCGTAGTCTGCAAGACATTCCGCCTGATCCAGCACAACGTTCTTGCATTGCAAGCACGGTCTCAGACCTGCAGCGCCCTTGGTGCAGAATGTCTCTTTTCCAGCCGCCTCGTCTGCAATCAAGCGGTGGAACTTGGCGAAAAAGTGCACGCCGCCGATTGGCGCACCGTGCTCCGACAGACTCTCTGGGCCCAGGAACAGCGCGCGAAGCAATGCCCGCGCCACGGCCGAGCCGCCGATGCTCTTCTTCACGACGACGCGCAAGGTGCCGATCGGCAGCCACGCAACCTCCTTCTGCAAGAAGGATCCGAACTCGAGGAAACTCGCATACACCGCGAGCTGATTCCGACGATTATCTATCTTCAAGGCGTTGCCCACGCCAATGTCGTCGTAGTACAGCAAAAGCCTCCACGGCCGATCGCGCGACACAGGGAAACGGCGCATCGCTTCCCAAAACATTGAACTCCAGAGAGGGCAGTCCGACAGGAGCCTCGGCATCAGCCGATGCGGCAGCGCCACGCTCCATCGGAAAGGCGTGCCGATCTTGGGCTGCAGCCGCACTGCGCTGATGAGATCGGCCACGGATGCCGTCTGCGATCGCTGCATGGCCCGAGCGCTCACGTCTATAGCATCGCCCGCGTCGTCGCCATGGCCAAGCGCAGTCACGATTCGCTCGAGCAAAGCCGCGGACACGCCGCGCAGGGCCAGACACTGTTGCAGTCGAGCCCGCTGCTCCACCTGCTTGTCCACCTGCAGGGCGCGTTTCCCCATTGCGCCGACGCCCGCGCGCGGGAGGGGCGGGGGCGGGGGGCAGCGCGAGGCCCAGCGCGGTTGAGAAAAACGAATTGCAGCCAGAGAGACGGAAGTGGAGGCGGGAATGGATCGCGGGGCGGAGTAGCCGCCGAAGGGCATGGCGGTGTAGCCGCCTGAAGGGTCGGGAGGGGCGGCGTAGCCGCCGAAGAGCGTGGGGGCGAGGGGGCATGGGGGGGGGGGAGGGGGGAGGGGGGTGGGTGGGGGAGATTGCGGAGGCGCGAAGTGAGCGTAGCAACGGAACTTGCAAGGGAGATTTCTTTTTCTCGCACGCAATTTCGAGCTTGAGTTTCAAGCTCGGGTTCCAAGCCGCCAGCGCTCGGAGACGGGCGCGGCTGGCGGCTCGAGCTCGGGGCGGGCGCAGCGCGGGACGGGCGCGGCGGCGGCTGGCGGCTCTTAGTGCGGGTGCGCGTGCTGCCTCCAACTCCTCATCCACCTCCTCCTCCTCTCCTCATCCTGCCTCCTCTTCCTCCTTATCCTCCTCTATCGGCCCAGCCGATCGCCGCTCAGCTCTCCTGGTGCGGCTGGCGGCAGAAGAACCGAATGCCGCCTGGGATGTCCTGCACCATCTGCTTCGACATCTGGCACAGCATCTTGCCGCGCTCCTCGGTGCGGCGCGCCTCCTCCATCATGCGCCGCGCCTTGTCGATGAGCATCTGGCCCTTGATGCCAACGGCGCGTGCATGGCGGCAACGATTGCGCCACTCGATGAAGCGCACCACGATGGTCGCCCAGCTCCACGCACTGCCACCCGTGATGAGCTCGAAGTCATCGACGTCGTACTTGTCCGCGATGCTCGCCATGGCGGCGCAAGACCGCGAAGGGGCACGACCTCGAGCGGCTCCACTTGAGCCACAAAGACTACGGATGAGGGGTGGGACGGTGGCAGATCATGTCATTGGGAAACGCGAGAGAACGGTGCGAGCGCGGTGGGCAGCAAAGGCGGCATCTCCGCCAAATGAAGGCAAGGCGGCATGTCCGCCAAGGGCTTGCGAGAGTGGAAAGGCGGCATCCCCGCCAAACGAAGGGCTGCGGTGGTAACGAGTGGGGTGGCGATGGCAACGAAGAAATGTTTTTTTCAACAACAATAACAATTGTACGAAATCACACACCTCGTCATGAGCGGCCCAACTGCCGCCCCTGCCAAGGAGCTGCTTCGCCTCTGCTTCGTCTCCGACCGCCAATCGATGGGATTCCCAACGGTGTCGCTGGCCTTCGCGAGCCACAGCTCGCGCGGTAGGGTCTCGGGCAGGACGCGCTCGAGCAGGAGGGAGTTAGGCAAGCGCTTCGCCTCGCCAAGTGAGGCATCGGAGCGCGATGAGCAGCAAAGGCGGCATCTCCGCCAAATGAAGGCAAGGCGGCATGTCCGCCAAGGGCTTGCGAGAGTGGAAAGGCGGCATCCCCGCCAAACGAAGGGCTGCGGTGGTAACGAGTGGGGTGGCGGTGGAAATGTTGTTTCACCAACAATAACAATTGTATATACGAAATCACACACCTCGTCAGGAGCGGCCCAACTGCCGCCCCTGCTCACGAGCGGCCCAGCGGCCGCGGCTTATTCGGGTCCTTCTCCACCTTTTTCAGGCCGTACTTCATGATGTACTGGGCCACCATGGGGCGCTCAGGTGCTGTGCTTCTGCGCCTCCTTGAGCATCCCCGCGATGGCCCTCGCCGCCGAGCTCGCATCCTTCTGGATGCTGATGGCCTCGTCCTGCGTGATCGTCAACGCCACGCCGCTGTGCACGCGCTTCTGCGCCACCGCCTTCATGACTGCCACAGACTTCCTCGCCGCCTTCGCGTTCTTCACAGCCCATGACGGCACCTTGTCCGCCTTCTCATGCTCGAGGTACCCGTCCAGCTCTGTCTCGAGCCTCGTTGCGGTGCCGATCCACTTCAGCGCCAGGTTTTTCTCCTGCGTCTCCTTCTTGGCCTGCTCGGCCTTCTCCCTCGCTTCCTGTCGCCTCCGCTCCTTCTCAGCGTCCTTATCCCTGCGGAGCCTTCGGGGTTGTCCGAAAATGACAACACTTCGAGCCGAGCGAAATCAATAACCCGATCCGAACCTGAAGAGTTGAACGGAAACCGAAAACGAATGCGAAGCCCAGGCGACACCCCTGCGTTGAACCCCCAAACGGCCTGCTCTTGCTCCTGTCCTTGCTCTTGCCGCGGCTCTTGCTCCTGCCCTTGCGGCGGCTCTTGCTCCTGTCGCGGTCGCCGCGCGAGCGGCTCCTGCTGCGGTTGGTGTCGCGACGTCTGTCGCGGCGTCTGCTCCTGCTGTCGCGCCTGCCCCTGCTGTCGCGCCTGCTCATGCTGCGCCTCCTCCTCCTGCGGCTGTCAGACCTGCGCCTGCGGCGCCGCCTGGATCTGGACATGTCGCTCTCGTCGCTTCTGTCGCCCTTGTCGCCGCCGTGCTCTGCGACGCCCGTCGAGGCCGCTGCCCGCGGGCCGCTCTGCTTCGCCTGCGTCCTCTTATCGGTGTACAGCTCGTTGCGCACTGCGGCCTCCACTGTCTCGCTCCAGGCCGCCTCCAATTGCGGCCTGTACGTCCACTCCCCGAGATCAGGGTTCCACCTCTTATCCTGCACATTATCTTCAATCTTTTTCGCGTCGAAGCCGTCGTGCGCCCACTTCCTCAGCGGAAGGTACTTGCCACCCTTGCGGACGCGCTCCTCCTCCATCCGTTGGACAGTGATTGAGCTGACCACGAAGGCTTCAATGCGATCGAGGTTCGACAGCCCAGGATCTTCTGCCAGATCCTTGTAGAACTGCTGCTTGAACTCACTCTTCATTTTGGCGAAACACTTTGGCGGCCACTGTCCGAACCTCCGAGAAAGGCGCACCCCGTTCGTGTTGCACGCGTCGCACTGGTAAGTCGACTGGCCCTTCGCCTTGATCCTGTAGTTGCACTCCTTTGCCGTGCGACAGCAGCGGTTGCAACGCACGATGCTATGCCCGATGCCATGCGCATCCACGAACTCCCCTACCTGGGGAGCGCCTGCTGGCGGATCGTCCTGAGCTGCCTCCTCCTCCTCCGCCTGCGGCGCTGCCGCCTCGGGCGAGCGCTCCTCATTCTCAACCTTGGCTACCGCGCCCTGCGGTGGAGCCTCTTCCTCCTCAAGCTCACGCTTGGCACTCTCAAGCTCATCCTGTTTGACGCCGAGCTCGGAACCAATCTCGTCGCCGCGCTCCTCGGAGCCCGATGCCGCCTCTGACGCTGCGTCGTCCGGCTCCGGTGGCAAAGCCGCTGCGCCCTGAGGAGGCAGTTCTTCGGCGGGAGCTGCGGCTGACGCAGCTTTGCGAGCCGTCCTCAACGCTGCGGGGTGCTTGCCTTTGCCCTTGCCTTTGCTTTTCCCGCGTGCCTTCGGCGGCCCTGCGTCGGTCAATGCGAGCGGCGGCACAAGCTGTCCAGTCAGTGTCATCTGCGTCCCCGATAGCCTAGCTTTCCCACGGGGCTTCGCTGCGGGCGCCTTGGTCATCACTCCCTTGTTTTTCGGCCTGGCTGCTCCGAACATCACTGCCAGAGAATGCTGCTGGTGATCTTCAGCGGGCGGCGTCCCTGCCATGGCGGCGTGACCGCCTTGGCACGCGAGAAGCCGCGCGTCGCGCGCGGCCCTGATGCCAAGATGAGCTGGACGCGAAGCGATGACGAAGAAAACGCGCGGTAAGTGAGGCGGGATAGCCGCCAGCGGAATAGCCGCTTCAAAGGTGGAGGGAGGGGTGGAGTGAGGTATGAAGGGGGCGGCATATCCGCCAGCGGACTCGCCGCTTGAGAGGGTGCAGGGGCGCGGCGAGGGAGGCGGATTGGCCGCCAGCGGACTAGCCGCTCGAAGCGTGGCGGACGCACGAGGTGATACGGATACTGAAATGAATTGCGCGCAACATGACAACCACACAAAATTGACATCATGTTATCATATGTTATCATATGTTATCAGGCGTGTGATAACACCATGCTAACACATGATAACACCTGATAACATGTTATCAGGTGTTATCAGGTGTTATCAGGTGTTATCAGGCGCGTGATAACATATGCTAACATATGATAACAGCCAACGTTTTTTTGCCAGTGCATGGCGGCGGCGTAGCGGCACGTCCGCCGAGTTAGTTAAGCGGAGCAGCAGGGGCGGAGCGGCGCCCTGCGCTACCGACCGCGGACGGCGCCGCGTGCTTCAAACCGCTGCCTGAGCGGCAGCGAAAAGACGGGCGAGCGCGGAAGCGAGGCGCGCTGCCTGAGCGGCAGCGAAGAGACGGGCGAGCGCGCGCAATCGGGGCGCGCTGCCTGAGCGTCATCATATGCAAGGCGATGGGGGGGTGGGCGGACATGGCGATGCAGCACATCCAGAAAATAGCCGCACTCATTCTTATGCGGATGCAGTTTTCTCCACCCAGCCCTTTTGCCAAATCCCATCCAACCGCCCACCTGTCTTATCCGCCGAAGTTCCCTCACCTTCCTCCCGCTCCGCTCGTCCACTCGCCCCCATATCGCCTTGCATTGGGGGGCGGCTACTCGGCCGCCTGCGTGGCCAAAATTCACCTCGGCGTGGCGGCCTTCACGAATTGAGTGCGGATGGAGTGTGTGGGGGTGTCCTAATTTGTTCTGACACAGGGGTGTGGATTGAAATTGCGTTGGAGGAGTGGGAGGGGGGCGTGTAGGGCCGACGCGTCGCGCCGCCTGCGCGAATGAGGCTACTGATGCTGAGGCGACATCAGTGCTGCCAGCCGTGCACCTGCACCTACGAGGTCGCGTTGCGCACCAGCCAGCTCGCGAGCACGTCCTCGCACTCGGCGATGCATTGCTCCTCTTGGCGGAAAGCGTTCACCGCGCGCTCCGCTATCTGGGCGCACATCTGCGTCGCAGTACGCGCGCGGCGCAACGAGTCGAGCACAGCCTGGCACTGGGTGCCGTTGAGCACCACGATGCTATCGGGCGACATCTGGCTGGCCAACGCCGTGGACATCCTCATGCCCGCCGTGGCTGACGAAGCTGCGCCTGACGATCCGCTGCCCTCCGAGAACGCGTCCTTCAGCTGGTGCGAGCGCTCCACGCGGGATTGTGGAGGGATTGGCGCCAGCTCGACCTTCGGCGCCCCCTTGCGCCTTTTGGCGGAGCCCCAGTTGGCCTTCTCCTCCTCCCATTGGCGCCACTCCGCGAGGTCGACTTCCCACGAGTCGGCCTCGAGTGCGATAGCAGCTACCTCCGCTTCGTCCTCGCTCAAGCTGTGGTACGGCGACACGTGAAGGTGGTTCACCAGCTTGTTCCTGGCCTCCTCCACTGTCTCTCCCTGGAACCACTTGCCGCCCCTTTTGCAGCTGCTGCTCTGTGGGCACTTGAAGCCGAACATGACGGTCTTCTCGCCCTGCTGGCCTGCCATGGCGGCAGGGCGAGAAGTGCACGGCTAGCGCAGGGGCGGCGTGGGGCGCGAGCCTGTGCGCGCCTAGATTCGAGCCGATACAGCGTCCCAACAACAAAAACATACATGTGTAAGAGGCGCGGTGGCATCGCACATTTCGGGATGCCAGCAGGCGGCGGCGGCGGTTTAGCCGCCAATGGAGGGCTCAGGGCGGCGCGGCCGCCAATGGGCGGTTTAGCCGCCAATGGGCGGCGTGGCCGCCAATGGAGGCTTCAGGGCGGTTTAGCCGCCAATGGGTGGCTCAGGGAAGGACTGGTGTTTTTTTCCAACCGCATAGAACAAACCCGATGCGCCGATGCTCGTATCTGAACGGCGGTTGTCCGCCAGGCGGGGGGAGGCGGCGCGTCCGCCAATGAGATAGATCGGCAACGAAGAGAGGGGAGGAGAGATGAGATGAGACGAGGCGGGGAGAGGCGGCGCGTCATGACGCGTCAGCGCGGATAGCTGCAACTATCCGCGCTCGAATTACGGAAGCTATGCACCCCAGCCCGCTTGCAGGTCCACGCGATCACCCTACAAGAAGACATCTCCGCGGGCGGGCGGGCGCGGCTTCGCTGGCGGTGGTGCCATCTTGCTTGTCGGCTGCAGCCGACGCCCTGCCCTCGGCTGCACCATGCTGGGCTTCCCTGCTGGCGGCTGCCTGGTCTTCGGCGGCGGCGGCCCCATGGTCTTCGGCGGCGGAGGCGGAGCTGGAGGGTTCATATTGCCAGTCCTCCACGGCGCCTGCTGAGGCATCGTCTTGGGCAAGTTCGGCGCCATGGGCTCCCGATGCATCAGCTGAGGCTTGGGGACGTGCGCCTCGCGCACCCGCGGCGCTGCCTTGTTGCCGTGCAGCTTCGCGTACATCTCGCGCTTTGCGCCACCTCGGTTCCCCCAGCGCTTCGCATTGGCGCGCCACGCCTGGCCCTGCCACGTCTGCGGCCCGCCCATGGCGGGGCCAGGCGGGCCGCGGTCGCGGAACTTCTTGTAGTCGTACTTCATCTGGTACTCCTTGAGCACGGCGAGCACGGTCTCCGACCGCCAGTCGATGGGATTCCCAACGGGGTCGCTCAGCCAGGCTCGCAGCTGCGCCCTGAACGCCTCCACCGCGCTGGGATGCGCCTCCACCGCCTCGGGGGGCTCTTCCACCACAGGCGTCGCGCCCCGCATGTGCGACGCGAGCTCCTTCACGAGAGCCGAGGGCGGGAAAGGCCGCTGCCGCGGGTCCCGCGGCGGTGACGTCGGCCCCCGCCTGCGCGGCGGCGTCGACGGTGCCCGCGGGTGGCGCGGGCTGCGCGATCGCGCTGGCTGCGCCGCCAACGTGGGCGCGCTGGCTGGCCGACTGCCGCTGGCGGAGGAAGACCGATCCCCTGCGTTGTTGTCCACGCCCGCAAGGTCGGAGAGCAACTGCATCGCTGGCCCGAACATCTCCTGCGCCGAATCGCCAAAACAGTTCGACCGAGAGCGGCCAGCCAGTTTCGCGCGCGATGCGCGCGTCCCTGGCTACCGCACGCGGGGCCACTTGTTTTGGCGATGCAGCTGCCTCCAACGCGTCGAACGCGCTGCCGCTGTCTGCCATGGCCGCGGCCGCAGTGCGAGGCGCCGAGCGCGACGCGGTGGCTGCGGCGCAGCCTCGGCGCGCGGGCCCCAGCCCACGCGTCGGCGCGAAAGGGGGGGGGCCGACCCCGCGCGGGCTCGCGGGCACCCGCGGGCCGCGGGCTTGAACCGAAATGGAATCGGACGCGGAAGCGAGACTTCGGGAGGAGGGGGAGGGGGTTGCCCATGGACCCATTGAAGTCTTGGAGCTCCTCGAGCCCTCGGGGGCCTCTCAGAAGGGCCCCGCTGGTTCTTGCGACGGGGTCTCGGGGGAGGGGGCAGAGTGAGGGTGGCATTGGGAACCAGAAATATAAGTGAACTGGCGTCCCTTTGAATGTGCAGGTCTTGGTTCACTTGTTTTCGTCGTTGAACGGGCGGTGGCAACGTCGGTGCCTTCGCGCGCGCCCATGCCATTCTGGGTGAACGCCTTCGCCGTTCGAGCAGTGGGCGTCTCCCCGACGTTAGTTGGCGTGGGATCCAGTGCCTGACAGCGGAGAGGGGGGCGCAGGGACGTGGCGCGGGGGCGCGGAGTGGGCCGAGTAGGGGAGGGGGGCGGCGGCATGTCCGCCTGAAGGGCGGAGGAGCGCAAAGGGGTGGGGCGGGGGCGGCATGTCCGCCACGAGTTGGAAGGCGAGAAGGCTGCGCTACAAGGCGGCATATCCGCCACGAGGCGGCATATCCGCCACGACCTTTTTGTTATCCCGAGGCCGCCCCGTTGGCCTGGAGAGTTGAAGAGTCGTAGCGCGAATTACTCGCCGCGCGCCCTGGCGGCGAGCTCCTTCTTGACCAGCTCCTCCGCCTCCGCGATGGCCCTGGCCTCGGAGCGATCGGGCGCAACGAGGCAGCAGGGGGCGGAGGGGGCGTCGAGGCAGGGGCGAAAATGAAGAGAGCGCGGAGGAGGGCGTCGAGAAGGGCGTCGGTGAGAATCTGGCCTTGTCGGCCTCATCGCCCGCGATGTACTTCAGGCTGACGTTGCTGCCAGGGACGCCGACCCTGCCGCTGCGGAACTGCACCTGGGGGGCGGAGCAACGATGAACAGTCGCCTGAAAGGCGGCGGGCGCGCAAACTGCGACCCCAGCGGGGCTGCTGGGAATCGCCGCGCGCGCCCGACGCCTCATCGGTGGGAGGTTCAACCCCGCTCGCCAAGTTGCGTGTGGTCTGCATCTCCCACCTCGGCTTCGCCCACTTGCGCTGCTTGTCCTTCCCAGCCGCGCCGTCCGTCTTCTTGCCCGTGGGGAGCGGCGTCTTCTTAGCCACGTTGCCCGTGGCAGGCGGCGTCGTCTTCTTT